CCTTTTATAATACATATATACATACATATATATATATATATACATATATATATATATATATATGGGATTCGATTTTGCTAACTTTTCCTAGGCTGCCTCTACTTCTGAAGCAGCTGGAATTATGAGCATGCACCACTATGCCCAGCTACTTACTAAGCATCTTCTATGTCCTTGGAACTGTATGTAAGTATGTTTAATCATTTAACACTTTCAACCACCTTGTGAAGTTTCCCTGCCTATAATTTTATAGATATGGCAACACAGAGTGGTGAAGGTAGTTGGTCTAATGTACCCAATTCCTAAGCAGTGACACTTAGCTTTTTATTTTTATTTTTTGCCAGTCTTGGGACTTGAACTCAGGGCCTGAGTGTTGTCCCTGAACCTCTTCATACTCAAGACTAGCACTCTACCCACTTGAGCCACAGCACCACTTCCAGCTTTTTCTAAGTAGTTCATTGGTGATTAGAGTCTCACAGACTTTCCTGTTAGGGCTGGCTTTGAACAGAGATCCTCAGATCTCAGCTTCTCCTGTAGCTAGGATTACAGGCATGAGGCACCGGTGCCCAGGTAACACTTAGCTTTTGTACAATCTATCTAAAGCATCTTTGAAAGCCTACCTGTAAATGTCTCACATAATAATGTACGGGGTAGGGCTTTTACCTTTGAGGTTATGCTTCTTATGAACTTTTTATGAACTCCAGACTTCATGGTGACAATCATTTATCAGGCTAATGTTAAGCATATAACCATGGGAAACCCTGCACCAGGTTTTCCCCATTTGTTTGTGTTAATATATTTGTGAAAAGTCTATATATTAGCCCTATCAGGGAGGATCTGTAGGCTATGAATGTAGGGGGCTGTCTTCCTTCAAGGATAAGAACATTCTAGATGTTAGTTTCTTGGAGAAGTATCTGAAAGATCCAGAATACACATGGGGTCTCTTGCAGAGTACGGACTGGGAGTCTAGTTCTTCTTGCCTTGCTTGCAGGAGATAATCAGAGTCCGGGGAATGGGGTAGACAGAGCAGGTCTGTGGCTGGTGCTTCTGTAGTCTATCATACCCCTCTCATGTATTTAAATAAGGATATTTAAAAGTTCCAGTATACTCCAAAGATGGGGAGGGGGTTGAAAGCAGAGAATACAGAAGGCACAGGAGAGAGCTGAAGATGGAAGGGACTTGCCAGTCTCCCTGTCTGTTTGATTCTAACACCAAAGCCTTGGAGGTTTAGTTTTGGATTTTATTTCAGGGCGATACTCTTGCATGCCGGGTACTGGCATCAGGAACACTTCAAAGTTTATTCAATACTGGTGCTAGTTTACTCCTATAATGTTTCTTGAGAGAACTGAAGACAGTCTTGGGATTTTTCTTCCTCTTTAAATAAAATAGAAACAGGGCTAGGAATGTGACTTAGTAATCACCTAGCATTCATGAAGCCCTGGGTTTGATTCCTCAGTACCACATAAACAAACAAGCAAAAAGCCAGAAGTGGTGCTGTGGTGATAGCCTTGAGCAAAAGAAGCTCAGGGATGGAGCCCAGGCCCTAAGCTCCAGGACTGGCAAGACAACAACAAAAAAAAAAAAAAAAAAGAGAGAGAGAAAAGAAAAAGAAAAAAAAGAAAAGAAAAAATACAAACAGACCAAAGTAGCAATCAACCTGGCTGGATTGTTGACAATGCATACATATTTTCTTTTTTTATTGTGAAAATAATCAAAACAACATTGAGATACCACCTCACCTCAGTTAGAATGGCTATAATCAAGAACTCTAATAACAACAGATGCTGGAGGGGATGTGGACAGAAGGGAACCTTACTTCATTGTTGGTGGGAGTGTAAACTTGTTCAACCACTTTGGAAAGTAGTATGGAGGTTTCTCAAAAGACTCCACATAGAGCTCCCTATGACCCAGCAATCCACTTTTGGGCATTTACCCAAATGATCACAAACAAGACCACACTAAAGCTACCAGCACAACTATGTTTATTGCAGCCTTATTTACCATAGCTAAGATATGGAATCAACCCAGATGCCCCTCAGTAGATGAATGGATCAAGAAAATGTGGTATATATACACCATGGAATTCTATGCCTGGATCAGAAAGAATGACATTGCCCCATTTGTTAGGAAATGGAAAGACTTGGAAAAAATGATATTAAGTGAAGTAAGCTAGGTCCAAAGAAACATAGGTGCCATGGTTTCCCTTATTTGCAATAACTAGTATATGCATACATATTTTCAATTGTCTATTTTACATATTAGAAGAGATACTGAGATCACGTACTAAGATGATTGATTAAGCTCTGCCCAGCACAGCTTTTAGCTCAAGAAGCTATCATCTTAGAGGCATTCCATTTTTTTTTGAAGCTTCTAAAGTTAGAGGGAAAGTAAAGGAGCAATTCTAAAATCCTAAGCTCATGCTTGTAATCCTAGCTACTCAGGAGGCTGAGATCTGAGCATCAAGGCTCAAAGCCAGCCCAAGCAAGAAAGTCCATGAGACTCTTACCCCCACTTAACTATCAAAAAGCTGGCAGTGGAGCTGTGGGTCAAATGACAGGGTTCTGGCCTTGAACAGAAAAGCTCAGGGAAGCACCTAGGCTGAGTTCAAGCCCTGTGATGGGTACACAGACAGAGACACACAGACACACTCAGAAACATAATTGTGAAATCAACTAAAGCTTTGACGAGATCTTCACAATGTACAATAGATAAAATCGCATCCCACCACCTAAAAGAACTGTCATCCCTTGCTCCTTAACCAACCCACCTGCTTCTTGTAGAAAAATGACATTTGAAAATGGTGAAACAAGGACACAGGATGAGCCATTGCAACAATGATACTCACAAGACACTGTGTTGGAAATGAACCCTATAACTTTGGGGCAGGGAGGAGTGGGGGAGGTAGGGGAGGGAAGGGATAGTGGGAGAAAAACAAAGGGTGGGGTAAATATGCTCGACAAGAAATGTACTCATTACCTTACTAACCTAACTGTAACCTCTTAGCACAGCATCTTTACAAGAAAATTAAAAGAAAAAGAAGACTGACATTGGAGATCCTGATTAAACACCTTACTTCGCAGCTTAGGGAGTCTCATGAGATAGTTGTGCCAATTTTCATTTCTTTTTCCTGAAAATGTATTGCTAGCAGCTCTAACAACAAACTGAGATCTAAAGAGATTCTTTCAGAGGTACGAAATTCAGAAGGAAGGGGTGAGCTTCCCTTTCCCCTTGGGGCTATAAAGCTCTGTTTAAGATCCATACACAAGGTCAAGGCAAGAGGCACTTGGCCCAGGACTGGGTCTGAAGCCTCAGAACTGACAGGCTGTCATCTCAAAGAAGTATGGGTAGTGCTGGGGCTGCCTGTCCGGTCCCAGATCCACCAGTCACCTCGCTTTGGCCATGGCAAAGAAAAGAAACACGAGACAAGCTATGAATTCAAATCAGCACACAAGATCCAATCATCCGCTGCTCACGGGTGGGTCCTGCAGCGCAGGACGCGAGTGTGAGCAGAGGGTAAAGAGGCACTGTCACTTGATTCACATCCCCGGCTCCCGGGGCTCGGGAATTACCTGGGAGGCGATCCTGGCTCAGCTCCCCGTAACTGCACCTTCGCCTCCCCCTTCCCCAGCCCTGCCCCAGGCTGCACCACCGAAGCTGCCCAACTTGAGGGGTTTGGGTGTGTGTGGGGGGGGGCGGGGGAGAGAACCATCTGCAGACAAGTCTCCAGATACCAGGGCAGACACGGCAAGTAGAGCAAGAGAGAGAAGAAGAAAAATACATCGCTATAGGCTCAAGTCGGGAAACTTTTCCTTAAAAGGGCGGCGTTGACCTTTGTGGGCGTCCCGGAAGCCGCTCGTTTATTGGTAAGGAGTTGTAATGACTCGGGGACCCCGATCCGAGAAAGCCGAGGAACTCGGGGAGAGGGAAACAAACGCAGGCGAATCGTACACGGTGTGGTGTGGCGTGTGGCTCAGGATCGTTTTAACAAGCCAGTGCCCTCGGGTTACTTTGATTTCTTCTTTTTCTTCTTCTATTCGTGTCTTTGTGGTCCCTGGTCGGGCTGCACTTTCTGGAAAAACTGGGTACCCAACACCACACTCAGCATCGTTTAAGTCCCCAGCTCCTTCCAGGCTAAGCTCAGAGTCCTCTGGCCCCTGGCTTCCTGGTACCCTTTGTCAGATCGTAGGTAACCCTGAACCCGGGGTGGCAGCGCGCGGGGGCTCGGATGGGGGGAGGGGGGGAGAGCGCAGGCAAGGGGAGGGGCACTCTGACCAAGTTGCTACTTTCTCCCGTGCTGAGCTTTAGTTATTTGCTTTTATTTATTTATTTACTTAATAGACTCGGGGCCACAAGGTAGATCTGCCAGCCCTCAAGAGCGATCGCAAACTTGGCCCCAGCCTCGCCACTCACTGCGCTGTCCCGGGGATTGTGCCGCATCATCCCCCCCCCCCCGCACACTCCCCAAACGTGAACTAGAAATGGACTTCTGCGGACCCGGAGACCGACGAGTCTCCCGGAATGCCAGCCGGCCCCGGCCCCACCGAGCGCGCAGCCACGGCTCTCGATCGCAACCCAGATGCCCCTTCCTTGGACCCCGGCACGGCCATCCCTGCCCCGGGTCCAATCACTGCAACGAAGTCCAGCGCAGGACTCCCGGGCAGGTGCGCTCCCAGAGCCGGGCGCAGGACGAGAAGCCCGGGGCGCAGTCGGTGCCGCCGCCCAGACCCGGCTCTCTCTCTCTCGGACTCTCAGCTACCCAGCCACCTGTTCCACGATCACGGAGTTTGTGCCGGCTCCGGCTGCAGCAAGAAGTAATCGGGTCACCCCTTCCCCCGCGCGGTACTCGGGACCTTCAAGGGCGCGCACAGCGTCACCCCAACTCAAAGAGCGCACACCGCGGCGCGCGCCCCGGAGACCAGGGCTGGCTAAATGCCCCATGTCCCCGCTTCCGATGGGGTCCCCAGTGGGGTCCCCAGTGGGGACTACACGCCGCGCCCAAGTACCTGCCGCGAAGATGCAGAGGGCGAGGAGCGTCTGGCAGACCATGATACCCTGGTGCTCGGGGCCGAGTCCGGCGCGGATGGCGAGGAGTTCGCTGGCGCTGAGCGTGCGCCCCGGAATCGGGCAGCGGCTGCTGGCTGCGGCGGGGGCGGAAGGCGCGGACGCTGGGAGCTGGGAGCGCTCGGCCCGGGC